CTATGAATGTTTCCAAAGAAATTTATTAACCAGACGAAATCGATGCAATACTAAGAAAATTACACATTCAAACCATCAAGCATTCACACAAACACTCATGTCATTCATTTACAACAACAAATATATTTACACACACCCGAAACGAAAGGCGCCCCAATATCCACCAAGAAAACTGACATCACTAACCACCTAACGAGGGAGGGGATGGGGAATTAAACAAAAATATAAAAATATACAGAAATAAAAGGGACCAATGATTTTACATACCCTAGCTTAAATAAACGGGAAAAAAAAAAAACTAAATATTCAAAAAAACCTAGTCTAACCTAATATCTGTCTGGGTTGCCTATGTTCAACCCTGTTTTAGGACAATATTCTATATGCCCAACTATACATCTAAATTTAAAATTCATTAAACTTTTCACTTTAAACAAAAATTTAAGATTCAATTTGAAATTTGCCGAATTCTGATGATGGGAACCGCTGCAAACAAGCTTTCTATACAATTTTTTTTTGTTATTTATAAGTGTATTCTTTTTTTTAAAATTAAAAATTTTGACGTAATAATGTCGTTTTTTTCGTATTTTTTAACGTAAAAACGACATTATTATAAATCATTATTTTTGCACCAAACCTAATATATATTCGAATAACAATCACCTATTCTTTTAGCCATTAACAAACACTATTTTTATTTTATTTTTTATTTTTAACCTAATGTGTGCTTTTCATACATGTATCATTATAGGATTTTTTTCCGAACACGGTCAGAACTCTCTGGCTGTGTTCTACGTTGATGTTGTTGAGTGTTGGATTTTTCTTTTTTATTATTTGTGCTTCCATTATTTTTAAACGTTCTTTATATCTTGATGAGCTTATTATACTTTTATTTTCTACTTTTATAGTGCAGATACATTTTGGTAGGTTCCCGTGCGTGTTTAAATGAACTTAGTCAAAAACATAAATTTCAATTTTATTCTTATATATATATATATATATATATATATATATATATATATATATATATATATATATATATATATATATTTAAAAGTCAACATCAAAGGACAGTCTGTTTCAAAAATGAACGCAACCTTAAAGCCTGAAGATTGTGTCTAAAAATGAAACAGACTATAACCTTCATGAGGTTTTGACCAGAAACCAATTTTCATATTCATATTTATTACGCTCTATCCCTGAAATTGATACTTTTCCCATAAAAATTTCATACTTGAAAAATTAATATTTCATCATATATATATATATATATATATATATATATATATATATATATATATATATTGTATTTCTTAGGACGCACCGTTTAAAAAAATTGAAATAATTTTTAATAGTAAAAAACTGCCAGAAAATTTGATTTTACGAATATTTAATTTCACATGATTTTTTTAATGCGAAGTAATTGTTATTTTGTTATCTTTGCTCACACTATTGTTACTTCGATTTAAACAAAAATTAATAAAAGCAAAGTTATATAATCAAATTTAAAATCGTCTTGTAAGAAAATAAAAATTTAATTGACAAACAAAACCCACGTCAAAAAAAGTTAACATAATATCAATCTGCCAATATTTCACACAAAAATTTTTATATATTTATATTTCAAAATTTACTTAAAAAGCATTGAATTGTTCAATTTTTTTTTTTAAATAAATGTTTACTTTTTAATTTCTAGTGAATGACCCTGAAAAAACGACATACATTCATATTGATAACAAGGTATTTCATATATTAAACTGAAAAATATTACCCCCCAAATCTTCAAGATAAGAGTATATTTGAAAAAAACAATGATTATAAATTGTCTTTGAATATTTTTTTTTTATTGTTCAAATAACTAAATTTTTTATTAATCAGGACAGCCTATCCCTCAACAAAGGACGGAAACACAATATGTTTTTTGAAAACTGTGCGCATTAACAGCATGAAACAAAAGACGAAATAGACGCCGAAATTCTTTCTTTACAATAACTGACATTTCCTACCAAGTATTTTTTTTAATTTTTAATAAATATTTAACAACATTTGTTAAACCACAGGTTCCTTTAAACCGCCTTTTTTAAATCAATATCACGCCTGATAACATTGATGGGATATCGATTAATTTTCGATAAATATTCCGAATAGTAGAACGAAGTTCCCCATCTAACAGTTCAGGGGAACAAATTATGATAAAAAAGATGAACCAAAAGTAAATAATCAGACCAGTTTTAGGACTTAAAGAAAACGAATCCCAGTTCGTGTATAGTCCAGTAAATGTGGGCTTACGAAAAACATATTAACGAAAAAAATCCTTATTATTTAATAAAAAGACATTCAAAAAAATGAGTGCCTTATCCTTTTCAACGTCCATTTAAACTTAAGGGATGGATGGGGATAGTTAAATGAACCAGGAAATATTTTTTTATTATCTATGGCAAAATCAAAGATAGAAAAATATCGTTTTATATCTCATATAGACAAAGGTTTTTTTTTACATTGTCAAACAAAAGATTCGAAAATAATAGCCCACAAAAATATTGGCTAAAACCGGACCCAAAAATGCTTATTTATAGATACTCCGTCTGTCTGGACATACAATATCTCATTGAAGATAAACTCAACACCCTGTGTGAATTTTATATAATATAGCATAATAAAATTTCCAACCCATATATGTTTTATCGCACAAAATAAATCGTCTATATATATATATATATATATATATATATATATATATATATATATATATATATATATATATATATATATATATATATATTTAGTTTATGAAAAAAACTAGGTAATCCGTATGGGTAAACCTAAAGGAGGATAAAATCCAGAGAGCTCAATGTAAATCCAGAGTAAATAATTTAAATAAAAACAGACCACTTTAAGGTTCCATGTAATAAATTATTTCACCACAGCCCTTTTAAAAGGACTGCGGATCATCAGACTTTGCTTCCAAACAAAAAATTAAGAGAAAATTTACACATTTTTGACATGCCGTATTAAGCATATGTAAATTAACGAAATGAGGAAGTGAGGGGGGAGAGAGAAGCCATGAGTGAGTTAGCAGATATTGATACATTTAAACGGTTAACTTAACGGAAGTTATATATTGATATCGAAGGGGTAGAGAAGAAAAACCCATAGAGAGAAAAAGAGGGAAGGAAGTTAAGAGAGAAGACGTCACTAATTTTCTTTGTAAAAAAAAGGCTAGAAACAGACGCTGTTATTTTGCTCTAATTTGAAAGTGTTATTTTGGGGGTTCATAAAGATTATAATGTTTGATATAAATTTGAATGTCTCTAAACTGTCTACAAATAATTTAATTTGATGTTTGTTAGTGATTTACATTTTCTTTAAAATTTTGGGTATTTTCTATGAAATAGTCGATTAGAAAAATATTCATAGAAAGTACAAAATTTTATTTTAAAATATAAGTTTACTTCTAGTAATCTTTTTTAAACTCTTAATTTTTTATATATATATATATATATATATATATGTATGCATGAGCGTGTGAACCGGGTCAACGCCAGTCAGTGACAGCCTGTTTCATGCTTGAAAACAATCTTCAGGTTATTAAAAATGTGTACTATAGGGATAAAGAAAATATACTTCTGGTTTTCTATAGTATAAACTGTTAATGGCTTGAAACAGGGTATCGCCGCTCTCTGCTGACCTCTGTGTTCACTTTTATATATAAAGAATTTTTTAAACAACAGGAAAATAAAGCATATTTGTAGGCTTTCTATAATCAGTCAGTTATGTGCCATGCACGATACACGCTTAGGCGATCATGTATCTTTCGATACATGACCGAGGAGGCAATTTTTTTCGCGCAGTAGGTTGCCATTTCTTTCTGCAGTAGGCCAGTTGCCATCCAAGGTTATAGAACCCGGTCTGTCCTGCTATTTACCAATAGCTGTGGGAGAAAAATAGGATTCATACCTTTCCCAAGGATATTAGCACGTAAGTGAATGTAATAGATTCGACTGGAATTTGAACTCGGCTCTCTGATACCTTAATCCGAGCTGCTATTACTCTCGCAGTTAATTTATTTAGAAAAAAAAAGGCCCTAAAATATGATATTGTGTGGGAGAAAAACTTGATCTGCGGAACACATGAAATGGATCTGATAATGGGTCAATCTGATAAACATTCTCGTATTATAATGTCTCTGGTTTGACCAGCAGTATCAGTTTACAGATCAACTGAACCGAGTTTTCATATCAAAAGTGGAAAGCAGTCACTGGTGAAATAAGAAGAGATTAACAAGACAATTATTTTAAACACCTGATCAAAACGATTCCCAGTACAATATTAGCATAGTCGATGCCAATTAAAAGGAGAGCAACTTATCGGGCCTTCTTGGTCTCTTGTTTTCCACTAATATGAGGCGGAACGATTGTATTGTGCCAATTGCACGGTCTGCTCTTCGAAAGTTATTTCACTGTCTGTGTCAGACAATTTTACAAGCCAGAATCCATCTTGTACGTTTATAGGCCCACAGTTCATCTATCACTTTGGATACTACTGCCACATCTGGTCTGACTCAGTAGCTGTATATCTCGAGATGCTTGACAATGTTATCGATCATGACCTATCCAGGTTCAGTTGACTTTCCCACCGCCGTTATGTAACTTCTCTGTACATTTTCATATTAATATTTTCATTGGAATTGTTCCGTCAAACTTTCCTCTTTTGTCCGCCGACCGCACGCCATGAAGTGTAGTACTAGACTGCCAGTTAGGTCTCATCATTTTATTGTTAAAATACCAAGATATAACCGTGTACGTTCTATTATAATAGTTTCGCACTTCTAACCTGTGGTACTCTTTTCGGGCTTCCCGCCTTCGGATTAAGTACGACCTTCTAAAATCTAAATATAACGCCGTTTTCTGGCGTTTTGAAACTTGTTTTTTACAGTCCTTTCTCCTCAGTAACGTTTTATCCTTTTTCTTTACTCTCAGTGTACTAGGCTTGCGTCAACATGACGTTTACATACCTGTTTTCGTACGATCAACGAAGTTAAGCAACACCGAGCCTGGTCAGTACCTAGATGGGTAACTGCTTGGGAATACGAGGTGCTGTAAGTTTGGATATGCGGGTAATGGTTTAAGGCTACACCACGTGGAATTCCCATACAAAGTTAAGCAACGTCGAACCTGGCCAGTACCTAGATGGGTGACCACTTTGGAATACCAGCTTGAATGTGAGGATCGTGTAATGGATAATGGCTAGGAATTGTTAAACAGAGAGCCACGTTCCAGTTCCTGTTAAGTTCGTTGTATTCATTTACGCGCAAATATCCTTAGGAAAGGTATGAATCCACTACTTCTCCTCTCCAGCTATGGATTAATTAATAAGACTAAGCCATTCAGCTCAAAATTTTACAATCTAAAAATATTTTCTTGCTTTAAATAAATCTTAAATGATCTGTTTTTTAAATAATCTACAATGGGTTGATAAGCCATAGAAAACGAGTCAATCTTTGTATGCTCTTGTATCTTTGTGGATTTATTGACTTGTTTTCGATGAAATGATTTTTTTAAAAATTAATGATCCCCATCGATATAGTTACGGTCGCCATGATATGCAAAATTGATGCATAAATTATAGCAGCTGGTGAAGCTTCTCGCAAAACCCAGAAAATATACGAATTCGAAAGCTTATCAGTAAGTCATATTTAATCTCATGAATAAAACGTGATGCCTCATTAATAATGCGTGACGTACCTAATGGCTTTTAGATGGACTTTCATGTTCGAAGTCCCGTTGTATTCCAACGCGAACGCCGTTAAGGGAAACTGTATACGAGGCTGTATTTTACACAGTGAAGTCACGTTGTAGTAAGATGAATGAAAATGTATACAGATACGGGTCTTTTATCACACATTCGTTTTTTTTAGAAATAGAAGAACTCAAGAGATTTGTTTCTAGTATACCACAAAGTGGTTCAATTCAGTTACACCTAATGTGGGCTGCGACAAACCTCTATAGGCAATGGAAAGATCTATAAAAAGGCAAAAGTTATAACAAAACCTGACTCACGAACACTGAAGTAACACGTTTTACAGAGAATAATGGTTCTTCGGACTTGTGCAAATGATTAGTAAAAACGTCTGAATGTTTGTTTGGCCTTGGTGACGTAGTTTGGACAGGGCACACACTATCCCGGAAACGGGGATAAAAATGTTCACCTGGAAATTCGGGTATAAACACGATAAAGGTTTACCCGAAAACTCAGGTATATACCTGTTCAATGTTTACCCGGAAAGTCGTGTATAAACGTGACAAATGTTTACCCGGAAAGTCGGGCAGAAACCTGGCAAATGTTCACCTGAAAACTCAGGTATGGACATTATAAATTGTTACCGAAAGACTGAAGTGTAAATCCTGTCGGTGTTTACCTATAGACATAAGTATAAACTGGAGCTTCATCTGTGGATAAATCCACCAGCATTCACTGCCATATAGAAAATTCGATATTGCATTGGAGTTCAGCACCCTTTTCTTCGTTGTAAAGGTTTACCCGAAAATTCGGGTATATACCTGTCCAATGTTTACCCGGAAAGTTGTGTATAAACGTGACAAGTGTTTACCTGGGACATAAGTATAAACTGGAGTATAAACTAGACATAAGTATAAACTGGACTAACGACATTTTTGTTTATCTTTATATTTTGCTTAGTTTCTGGATGGCATTTTAAGTATTCTTATGCGACTTGAGATTTCTGTCACATTTTCAGTCGTCTACATTAACGAAATTTCTGTACACATTTCATTTTGACATCCCTTAAACGTTTGAAAATTTTTAGGTCAAGAGAGAACAAAAGACATTCACTGCTAAGAACCTGATGATATTTTTTTAATGGACTGTGATTGGACGGTTTAAAGGTGAACCGCCTCCCCTTTGAAAGGGAAGGGAGAACTGGGACTGGACCTTAGCAGCAGTTGGAAACGAGACCGCTTAGAGACAGGAGGTTGTTTCTCTCTCGCTGCTGAAAAGGCAGGCAGGGTTTGCCCATAAGTGAAGGATGCATGGGTAACAAAGTTGCTGAGGGCAAGTTTCCCCTTCAGAGAAAGTTTTGAGAAGTCCTCTCGAAGAAGCCCCAGTAAAGAAAGTTTGAAAAGAAGTCCATAAGTGGAGTTTGGAGCTAGAGCCGTTTAAGAAGAACGAGAAAACACGTAAAAGAAAGATGTAATATCCAGGCGGACGAGAGGAAAATAAATAAAAAGAAAGAAGGGAGTGTAGTCACCAAGAAGAGAACCTTGTCTACACAAGAGAGAAAAGAAAAAAGATAAAAAAAAACATTTGAACCTTGAAAGGACTGAAAGTGTACTGTCGAGCTAAGGCTCTTCCCCTTTTTTTTATCATTATCATTGTCACATGGGGAGGGCGCTATTCTTTTTTGGGGTTTTTTTTTTTGCATTCTAATTTTTAAGTTTGTTTTCTGCTATGTTGTTTTACATTGTGTTACTCAGAGAATACGTTATCTTATTCTCAGCAAAAAGGGGCGAATTTTTGCAAGAACACTTATTTAGCTGGTTAGAAATAAATATTTTTTTCTTTATAATTGAATCTGATTTGCATTTTTTTTCTTTCTTTTTCGTTATTAATTCGGGCAAAAGGGAAAATACTGTTGCAGCAGGTTTTATTTTCTGCAAGAAAAGAAATTTTCCGAAAAAGGTAGTTCTCAATTTTAGCCGTATTTTTGCTAACAACCATGCATATTGTCCTTATTTCAGTTAATACATTTAACGGTATTTTTGTTTTTATTTTACATCTCTGTTGAATACTTGTAAAGTCGAAATTATTTTCTTTTTTTTATATTAACTTTCTCGAAGCGTCTTTCCTTTTTCATTCAAACGCTTCTTGTAAAAATAAAACCCGAACTCCCGCTCGAAGCACGTTACCTTCAGCTTCGCACATGAAAAATAAGCAACAGTAAATTGTTAAAGGATTATTTTCTTATTATACAACGTTATTTCAGCTTACTAATGAAATAATGTCGGATTTAGAAGAACCGTTTCGAGAATGAACAAATCCACAGGCTGCAATGGATAAATTGTCGTCTAAATGACATCAAAATGAAAATAACACTGACAGCTCATTTTAACAGATATACAGGCTGCAATGGATAAATTGTCGTCTAAATGACATCAAAATGAAAATGACACTGACAGCTCATTTTAACAGATATACAGGCTGCAATGGATAAATTGTCGTCTAAATGACATCAAAATGAAAATGACACTGACAGCTCATTTTAACAGATATACAGGCTGCAATGGATAAATTGTCGTCTAAATGACATCAAAATGAAAATGACACTGACAGCTCATTTTAACAGATATACAGGCTGCAATGGATAAATTGTCGTCTAAATGACATCAAAATGAAAATAACACTGACAGCTCATTTTAACAGATATACAGGCTGCAATGGATAAATTGTCGTCTAAATGACATCAAAATGAAAATAACACTAACAGCTCATTTTAACAGATATACAGGCTGCAATGGATAAATTGTCGTCTAAATGACATCAAAATTAAACTAACACTGACAGCTCATTTTAACAGACATACATGGTGCGATGGATAAACTCTCGTCTACATGACGCAAAAAATTAAACTAACACTGACAGCTCATTTTAACAGACATACATGGTGCGATGGATAAACTCTCGTCTACATGACGCAAAAAATTAAACTAACACTGACAGCTCATTTTAACAGACATACAGGGTGCAATGGATAAATTGTCGTCTAAATGACATCAAAATGAAAATGACACTGACAGCTCATTTTAACAGATATACAGGCTGCAATGGATAAATTGTCGTCTAAATGACATCAAAATGAAAATGACACTGACAGCTCATTTTAACAGATATACAGGCTGCAATGGATAAATTGTCGTCTAAATGACATCAAAATGAAAAATGACACTGACAGCTCATTTTAACAGATATACAGGCTGCAATGGATAAATTGTCGTCTAAATGACATCAAAATGAAAATGACACTGACAGCTCATTTTAACAGATATACAGGCTGCAATGGATAAATTGTCGTCTAAATGACATCAAAATGAAAATGACACTAACAGCTCATTTTAACAGATATACAGGCTGCAATGGATAAATTGTCGTCTAAATGACATCAAAATGAAAATGACACTGACAGCTCATTTTAACAGATATACAGGCTGCAATGGATAAATTGTCGTCTAAATGACATCAAAATGAAAAATGACACTGACAGCTCATTTTAACAGATATACAGGCTGCAATGGATAAATTGTCGTCTAAATGACATCAAAATGAAAATGACACTGACAGCTCATTTTAACAGATATACAGGCTGCAATGGATAAATTGTCGTCTAAATGACATCAAAATGAAAATGACACTGACAGCTCATTTTAACAGATATACAAGGTGCGATGGATAAATTGTCGTCCAAATGACGCCAAAATGAAAATAGCACTGACATTTATTTTAACATATTCAGTGTGCGATGGATAAATTGTCGTCTAAATGACATCAAAATGAAACTAACACTGACATCTCATTTGAACAGATATACAGGGCGCGATGGGTAAATTGTCGTCTAAGTGACGCCAAAATGAAAGTAACACTGACGTCTCATTTTAACAGATATACAGGGTGCGATAAATAAATTGTCGTCCAAGTGATGCCAAAATGAAAGTAACACTGACGTCTCATTTTAACGGATATACATGGTGCGATGGATAAATTGTCGTCTAAATGAAGCAAAAAATGAAAATAACACAGACATCTCATTTTAACAGATACATTTACCAAAATTACACAAAAAATGTCTTGAAATACTAAAGAGTAAATTTATTCAATAAAATCCCCATTGCCTTCAACCACGGCCTCTAGACGAATTCAGAATTCATCCAATGAATTTCAGCCCCTGACACGCCTTCCAAGCAAAGGAATCGGATCACTTGTCTTTGTTCCTCATTGGGGCATAAGTAAAGATTCTATTGGCTCACACTAGACCTAAAGTGGCGCCTGTATAATTGGGATATAGATTTGTCAGAATGTGTTCATCCGACAC